GCTCTGCTTCAGGTCTGGTCTGGCCTGGCCCTCCTTCCCCCCTGGTTCAGATCCAACCCCGCTCCCTCTGGTTCAGAAGCCACCAAGGGTGACATCCCACGAAGTCAATGACCCCTGGATTGGGTAAGCCCGAGAACTGGGGAGTCACCAGAGTCTGCCAGAGAGGGATAAAGGGCAGCAAAGAATGACCCTCAATGGCACCCTCTTTGACCTGACCAGCACTGTGCCTGTCCAGCTAGAAAGATCAGCTGGCAACCCCCTTCTGAAGCAACATTGCGCTGAAAGAAGCCTTGACTGGCCACCAATGGTGGACTCCAGCACTTGGGGATAGGTATATCTTGACACTGGTGCTTAGTATTCATAGCTAGCTACTGTGAGTGTGTGTGTGTGCATGAATGTGTGTATGTTAGAGGGGATCAGCCCCAGGGTTTATGATCTGACTTTTGTATCCATCTAATAAAACTAGAATTTTATGATGATCCTGCAATTTGGTCCTTTGTAGCCAACACTGTGCCTGCAGCAGGGCCTACCAGGCCTGCAGTTTTCACCACGCTCTGCCCCAAGATAGATACAGGCAGTTGCACAAGCACACGTCACGAGTTTTGCCTGTCAGCAGCCAGAGGTGCAAGCCCCAGAACCCAGAACCCCCTGCACTGGTCTCCTTGACAGCTTGCAGGCTTCATGGCCTCAGCAGGGGCTAGCAGGCCTGCAGTTTTCACCCTGCTACGCCTTAACACATACAGCGTCATGCATGTCACGAGTTTTGCTCATCTACGACTTGAGGTACAGTTTCCCCCAAACCCCTGCACCTATCTCCTTGAAACTTGGCAGGCTTTGTGGCCTCAGCAGGGGCTATGCCTGCAGTTTTTACCTTGCTGTGGCTTAACACATACACATGACATGAGTTTTACTTTCAAGAATTTGGGGTGCAGTTTATCTGAACCCCCTGCACCTATCTCCTTGAAACTTAGCAGACTTCATGCCCTCAGAACGAGCTACAATTCCTGCAAGTTTCATCAAAATCAGGCCAGAAATGACAAAGTTATAGGCTGTTTCAGCCTTCCCCATTATACCCTATGGGCAAAATGCCGAAACAGTTTCACCGTTTCCACCCTGTTTTGACAGAGCAGAGCAGAGCAGAACAGCACAGCACAGCACAGCACAGCTATTTTGAATCGAAACAAAATTCGAAAAGGAATGCTGTTTCACCAAAACAGAATGCTGCCGTTTCGCACAGCTCTACTGCTCAGTACAGGCACGCATCTACTCATGAACGCCCATACTGTGTGGTAACTATAGCAATTTACACTGCCTTAAGCATAATTTTGATACCTGCATCATGTCAGTATCATGCCTGAGCAGTAATGCATGTGTAGACATCTTACTGAGTAGTAACAGTGTGTGTGTGTGCACTGATTTGTGACTAACTTTAGCCCAAGTCAGTCCACATGCAGTGTTACTGCACTTTAATGACTGCATGTGTAGACATGGGCCAAAAAAACTACAATAAATGCATTTGTAGACATGCCCTAGGAGTAGAAATTTTACAAGAGATTGATAAGCAGTTGTCAGTCAGCACTGACACTGAAAGAAACAGCTGTGATTCAGCGGGCATTGTTACCACAACAATACAGAACTTCCCTTCCACATGGAAGGTAGATGTACTGCTCCATGTCCATCAAAATTCAATGTTATTTTGTGTATGGATGAATGGAAATAAATATATCCCTCATCCAAAGTGACACTACTGAGCTTGACTAATGGATGGTCATGCATTTTGGTCCAAAAAATTTATTAAAGATTACATTCAGTTCTGTGTTTTTGTCTTTATACATAATTGTGTTAAGGCCCATGAATCTAGAAAGAACAATGCTCCTTTTTACTATGGAAAAGCAAAATGCAAATTTGAAGGGTGTATTTCATTATTTATGAAGATCAAAGACAAAGAAATCATGATCAACGTGTGAAAATTGAAATTCAAGTGAAAGGAGAAATCAAAACACAAAATTGGTGAATTGCACAAAAGGTGGACATGCTAGCAAGAAAGAAAAGAATTAAGGTAAAAACTAAAGGTAAACCAGCACTGTTTGGCAAAAAATAGCTAGTGAGAGTAACCTTGAGGGAAGAACTGAGCCTAATATATATCTTGATTGCCTCACTATGCAGAGAAAACAAGATGCAGAAAACTGCACGTACCTACATTGCTATATCGTTTTTCACACTGCATACGTACATGGATGTCCAGCTGCGCCTACTTTTTGATCTTCAGAAAGCAAAGCTGTATAAGCTTGTATCTTGATGCTACAGGGTCTGTTGTTAGGAGCCTTCCATCATGTAAACATTGAATCTTGTATTATGTGTTATGTGAGAAGTGTCCATCCAATTCAACAAACATCCTACCAGTAGCAGAGGTGCTAACAGCTGACCAAAGTACTCCAACCATATCATACTGGCTGACTTTGATTTCTCGAGATACTCTGATAGTAACTGGTCATTGGTTTGGACCACAAAAAGTAGAATGTGACTTCAGCTTTAATACATGCAGCTATTCAGGTTTTCAACCATATGACTGCCATACATTACCTGAATGCCTGTTGTGTAGTATATACTGGGAAACAGAAAGCCGTTTTTACAATTTTGCACGTGTCCGCCATACATACGATCAAAACAGTTTATGGACATGTATCTAAAGTTGCTGTTTCTATGGATGTCAAGGATTTTTTTGTATTCTTTTGTCCTACTGCAAAAATGCAAAAATAATATCTGAGTGCAGAAAAGTAATTAAGAAGCTCAGCATAATTTGCAGTGTATCACACATCTTGACACACAATGCAGGGAAACAATAAAGAGGTAAAGAAAGGTATACAGACCCGGCAGATCTCTCAAACCATTCTATCCTTTGATCAGAAAACTGGGATTGATCAGAAACAGGAACCAATCTGCAAAAAATCTCCTTTTGTTCAACTGATTCCATCATGCAGTTTGGGGAAAAAAAAAAAAAAAAAAAATGATCAGGAGAATAAGACTTGTTCTCTGAACAGTTATTATTCCATTGAATTGCAAAAACTCCTGGTCAAGTATATGCCAACTTTCCCATTACGGAGTGGCATTTTCGTTACAAACAGTAAAATGTCCACAAACAGCAATGCAATTGTTGAGAATTGGTTCAGAATTGTCAAAAAGCAGGTTCTGAATGACAAACTCCATCACAGAGCTTCTGAGTTTGCAGAAGTTATAAAAGACAGTTCAAGGTAAGATGCATTCAATAACATTAGGCATCTTACCTGACAGAAATATAAAGGAGAACTCTAAGAGGAAAGTAATGAACAGTGTTGCTTACATGGAATAAACCCCTCTATTCCACACCAAAGAAGCAAGCTAAGTGTTCTCAGGCTTCTCCAGAACATGAAAAGAAACACAATGGTTGCCCTGTCCTCCTTGTCGTGGTGGCATCAAAATCAAGAACAGAAAGGTGAAATTCACCAACCCTTGCACCATTAACAACCTTTCATATATCATTCATTTGATAATTTAAAAAATATGAAGCAATTAAAACTGAATTTGAACTTCTCCAAGGAAGAAGTGTAGTATTTCAATGTCTTCTCAGAGAGAATGAGGCAGTTAGCAGCAACAACTGGGATGAATGGAAATGGCAGTGGTTGGCAATTTTAAAAAATTTACAGGAAGGAGCATATGGAATTGCTATGGAAGTAAGGAAGATATGGTGACATCTTCACTCTCCGATCTCTATAGCACAGTGCAGCACACCGTATGCGCCTATTTAGGGGGCGTGTCTACATGAGATGCATTCAAGCGCATTAGCCTAATTTAATACGCATTAAAGGTGCACATGTGCATGCCCTTAATGCACATTAAAAATGGAGACATTGGGCTAATCACACCTACATTTGATACCTGCAAATGCAAGTATCAAATTTAGTAATGATTACTTAAAGCATATTAACGCACATGTAGATATGACCTGGCACTAATTTTAGTGCCCAGCCACGTGCCACAGGGACGTGGTACTAACTTTAGTGCCAAATGCACTAACTTCAATGCCAAGTCTCTGCACGTGTAGACACCTCCCAAAAATCACTTAACACGCACTAGCTTAATACATATTCAATGTAGTGGTGCTTAAATGCATGCATAGAGGCACTCAATTTCCAAAAAAGAATAGGACATTGAAACCAGCAGTTATATTTGCACAGTAGGTACGCATCTTCCTATTGAACTTAAGGATAATGTTTGAAGGGTTGGTTGTACAACTCATTTAGGGGAAAATAGAAGAATTAAGATCTAAAGGAGAACATAATAATTAACACATGCTTTTCAGTTAATATTTATAGGTGTCTCTTTAGCAATTGGGATCATTAAACCTGTTTTATGAATCTACTAGCCAACTGCCTGTCAAGAATGATGGGGGGGCGGGGACAAAGCGCCACCACCCAACACCTCCTCCACCGCCGCCTCCCACGGGGGGGCGGGAACTTGCACACGACGGCTGCCACTGCCACCCACTATCCCGCACTGCTGCTGCTCCACAACTGGCCCCATGCAACCTGCCCCACCTCAGTCCTCATCTGGCCCCATGCGCCCCCTCCCCAACCTGCTGCTCCACGTCTGGGCCAGCACCCAGCGACAGATTAATTTGTCCTGGGGCCCTGGACAAACACAAAATTGGAAGCCCCCTCCCCCCACAGGACCTGGGCTGCTGGGGCAGGGCCCTTTCTCCTCCTGGTGCTGGTAGGGCAGGCTAGGGGGACCCTGCTGGGCTGGGCGTGGGAGGGCACATGTCCGCCTCTTCGCCCTGCTCCCCCATCCCAATATGGCCAAACATACACACACACACAGGCACACACACGCAGGCTTGCACACAGATGGGTGCACACTACTCTCACTCACTGTCTGCACATGGACACAGACACAAACACTCTCTCCCTGCCATGAACAGACACATGCATCCACACTCACGCACTCACACATGCATGCACACACACACACACACGCACCTAGGCAGATGGGCACGCACTGTATTCACTCACTCTGTACATGGTCACACACAAACACACTCTCCGTGCCATGAATACAGATACACACACACGCACACAGATGGGTGCGCACTCTACTCGCTCACTATCTGCACATGGATACACAGACACAAACACACTCTCCCCTGCCATGAACATAGACACACGCATACACACTCATGCATGTACACACAGACATGCGCACAGAAGCAGGTGCCTGTGTGTGCATCTGTGAATGTGTGTGCATCTGAGTCTGTGTACATGCATCTGTGTGTGCACGTCAGGGCATCTATGCACTAGTACTGTTAATTAAACTTTCCACAGGGTAAAATGTTTTGCCTACCCATGTAATGCATCATCATCTACTAAAACAGAAATTCTTTTACATGTGTTAAACATGTCTTATAAATGGGACAATGATTTTTTAAACATTTCCCATTTGAAATCAGTTTTAATCAGAAACCTTAGGTGCTCCTTTACAATCTTCCACACATTAAAGTAACTTTCTTTGTGTATACTACAGTACTAGCGGATTAGACATATCATACTTCAATAGGTCAAGCTCCATGCATCCACAAGGTTTTCTTGTGTTTCTTTATTGTAACCCTAAAACTAAATATACCTTTTTCTTCCATGGTTTCCCTATAACCCTCACCTGAGCAACAAGCTTATGCTAGTTTTTGTTACTCCCCACAGCATGTTTTCCTTCTGTACAAGTGCAAACAGAATCAGAATGTTACTATTCTGAGGTGTAATACAAATCAGGCGAAGACGCGGCAGGACACGATTATAGCTGAAACTAAAAATTAGTGTCTTCACTCTTTGCCTGGTGTACTGATCAGTTACAGCGTGTCTATAGCCTGTATATCTGATTTATGGAATAAATGTGATTTATCAGTCCCCCTTTTTCCCCTGCTGTTTTCTGAAGTGCCAAACGGTCAACAATGTTGTGCCTATCGTTATGCAAAACCCTACATTCATTTTTGGAAATGAAATACTGTTATAGAAGAGTTCAGAAAAGATGACGTAGTAATGCCTTCCAGCCTTGAAACACACAAACGCGCGAAAAGATTTTACTGGTGCAGCTGTACTCTTAATTTAAACCCCTGCCTCACAGCACCAACTTAAGCAAGAATTATCAACAGGTACTTAATAAATATTACTTCCTTCCAAAGACATAGGTTCTTATACTAAAAGCCAGCAGAATTGCTCAAATAGAGATGTCACAATGGGTCACAGGTAAGTGTTGCATAAATTAGTATTATCAGGTTTTCTAGCAAATACTTTACCTATTTTAAAATTTCAGGGTCAAAAGTAATAAGTGCAATGGAAGATGGAAATTGAGTAAACATCAGTTCATTAATGAAAAACCACGTATCTTACTCATAACAATTGCAGTGAATCTGGCTCACAGAAGAGCTAAAAAAATTGATCCTTAGCTCGTTCCGCCAGAGATGTCTATGTGTGACATTAAATAAGTTGGTAGTGTAAGATTATGTTGTAGCCATGATGATATTAAGTAAATAGAAATAAAACTATATGCATCTCTATATATCAAATGATCAAAACACGCATTCTCAAATGCTATTTGCTGGCTTTTCAGAGACGGTAGTACCCTGTCCCCTTTCCCCCAAAATCCCTTTCTTGTATTTTGTATTTAGGTCTTCTATATTTAAGTAAAGAGTATGTTGCTAGTTAAAGCATGTCACCAGTCCCAATTAGTTCAACAGAAAATATTGGATGTCCAAATTTATGAGAGTTCACTAAAACAAAGGTTTGTCATTGCAGGTACGAAGTAGTTGGGGTAATGTACAATATTGGTGAGCATTTTGTATGTTTCCACAAACTTGGTGATACTGAGAGCTTGTGTTACTATGATGGACTTTTACAATTAAAAAAAGGAAGGATGTGGAGGTACACCAGCGACTGAAGAACAGTTCTCCAAAGCTCCTAGGAAGGGAAGTGTCAAGTAATGATGTTGTTGTATAAATGTCTTAGAAACATTAAAGCTATCAGCAAGGATACACATGAATACATACCAAAGCCTCACTCTCAGGGAATTAAGAGCACTGTGCTGATGCTAATACAGGGCAGGTCGGGTTTGCCTCCTACCGTACCTATGATAGATGGCACTACCTGCAACTGTTAACTAGGGCTGTGCAAAATTATCCAGCTGTTTCGTTTCAACACTGTTTCAACTTATTTGGAACTCGAAACAGTGAAACCGAAACAAAACAAAAGGCTTCAAAACAGCCTTAAAACAAAGGAGGGCATTTTGAAACTTTCAAAATGTTTCAAGTCTCAAAGCTGAAGCTAGGCTTGCTTGCAGGGAAACAGAAAGTAAGGAGAAGGAGGGAGAAGAACAGGAGAAGGACTGCTCTGATATTGACTGTGTAGCTGGCCAGTGACTGTCATCCTTCCCTGAGGTCGCTTCCAATCCCAGTGCTCTGGGGGAGGGATGGCAAAACAGCATAACAAGCAGCACTGTTTAAACTGGGCTGCTTTCTGCCTTGGGGTCAGTTACTTGGTGTAGGCGTGGCTCATTGGGCAGGGTGAGCTTACCTGCGGGTTCATGGTCACCCACAATGGGGCCGATATGGCCAAGACAGTCTGTGATGCCAACTTCGTTGGCATCTGCTGTGTGGCGCACAAGTTCCACCTGATTGTCAGGGATGCCTTGGAGGGGGACAGGGCTGCCGGTGATGGCACCAGCCAGAACCACCAGCAAGCTCATTTCCAAATGCAGGAAGTTGGCAGGCTACTTCCACCGAAGCATCAAGGGGAGCAAGATGCTGCAGGACAAACAGGCAGAGCTGAACATCCCGCAGCACAAAATCACGCAGGTTGTGGAGATTCGGTGGAACTCCACATACCTGATGCTCGAAAGGCTGGTGGAGTAACACAAGGCCATCCATGAGATGGCCTTGGTCGGGGAGATTGGGATCAGCAGCCCCCTTAACAGAGCTGAGTGGGATACCATCTCTCAGCTCCTGGTGGTCCTCTAGCCCTTCCTCGATGCCACTGAGACCCTAAGCGCTGGTGATGTCCTCCTTAGCTAGGTGATCCCCATAGTGAGGGAACTTCAGAACCAAATGGAGAGCTTCCAGGGGATCAATGGTCCTGCCTGGGGTAAGCCACTGTCACCAGATGTGCAGGCACTGGTGAGGCAGCTGAAGGAGGACATAAGAAAACAGCTTGATCCCTTGTGGTCCAGTACAGTCATGTGTGAAAAGTAGTTTTTAAATTCCCTTTGAGGATCAGGCCTAAGAGATTGGAGACAGGTGGTGTTCTGTTCTGGTCTTTAATAGCACCTGAACCTCGCTAACCTCATCATCAGAAGCCAACGTCCTACAGCCCAAAACACACCGAATGGATCCAGACCATGACATGACAAGACATGCAAAATCTGCCAACAATATCTCCAATATGGAGATATCTTCACAATATAATACATATCTCCATCAGGACACCAAGTGCCCTGATGGAAAATATGTAGAAGACACCAAGCAACAACTGCGCACCAGAATGAGTGCGCACCAAAAATCTATCAGGTAAATTTGAAAAGCTGGTGAAAAGTCTCTCTATATGCATGCAGTCACTCCTCCTGCTCTCCAGTGCCTGGCAGAACAGCAGCATACAAGTCTTACAGATTGGGTGTCAAGTGGCAGGCTCACACTCAAAAACCAACCCTTGGGTCAAGCACGGACCTGCCCAGATTTCTTTAAGAGGCTCCCTTGGTGGTGGGGATGTGTTTTGGGATGTTTTCTAAAGGGTTTTGCCTCATGATCCCAGTCTAAAACCAGATCCTTATTGGAAGTAATGTAACTAGCACATGGGGCTGGGGAGTCAGTTGACAGCCTGGCACGCACAAACTTCACTGTAGGCCTAACTGCTCAGCGATCTCTGGGAGAGTCCCCCAGTGGCAGAGAGGCACTCTGTGGGGTGTCCTAGAAAGGATTTCCAGCTGTAATCCCAGGCCAAAAGCCAGTTCCTTATTCAAGATCATTTACTTAGTACAATGAGCCTGGGGGGGCTGTCAACTAGCTGCCTGGCACAGCCAAACTGCACTTTGGGCCTGGCAAAGTTGGTCAGAGATCACCGGAAGAGTTTCCCGGTGCCACAGAGTCATAGTGTGGGGTGGCCCAAAAATGATTTCAATCTGTAATCCCAGCCCAACAGCCACTTCTTTATTCAAGCCCATATACTTAGCACAGTGGCTGGGGGGGCCCTCAACTGGCATGCTTTGGGCTGGGTAAGACTCTCATCAGGGATGTCTGGGAGAGTCCCTTGGTGGCAATGAGGCATTACATGAGGTGGCCTAGAAAGGATTTACAGCAGTAATCCCAGCCCAAAAGCCAGTTCCTTATTCAAACCCATATATTTAGTACAGTGGCTGGAGGGCTGTTGGTTAGCACCCTGGCACGGCCAAGCCGTGCTTTAGGCCAGGCAAGGCTCTCGTCAGAGACGTCCAGGAGAGTCCTCTGGTGGCACAGAGGCATGGTGTGGGGTGGCCGAGAAAGGATTTCCAGCCATAATCCAAGCCCAAAAAACAATTCCTTATTCAAACCCATTTACTTAGTACAGTTGGCATGAATTACGGGTGCCTCCCGAGACCAGGAGGACACCACACTCAGGGGTCTTTGGGACTGTCCCCTTATGGCAACAACAAGCAGTCTTGGGTCACCTAAGAAGTATTTTGCCCCATAATCCCATCCTAATCTGCTCTTCAGAGGGCTCTGGACTTGATGCAGGATATTATTTTACATATTAATTAGTATATACACATAGCTGATGAGTCTCTCTCTTTAGAATGTGTAATTCGTGGATGACAAACTAGTATTGGGTATAGATTAGCTTTGACTGAAAGCATACTTCAATATTTTCAATATTTTGATCTGTTAGTTAATTCAGAACCAAAAAATTTATAAAAAAACCCCTAAGTATTAGGTTGTGATCAGATTACTCAAGGAATAAAGTATGCATAAAAGATGCATAATTTAGAAAGTCTTCAGATTCTAAAGACTTTAAACCCTTTATCAATCAGCTAACCACCTGGCTGACAGAGAATGAAGGCAATTCTATAAGAAAGGCAAGGGGTTTTATGCAATACCTTTTACTGGACTGATTGTATCGTTGGAAGAGACGCTGGATAAGGTTTTGGGCACTGAGCACTTTTCTTCAAGTCTGAGAAAGAAGCGGGATACCATCTTAGCTAAACAACAGGAAAAATGGTTTGTGTTTAAGTCCCTAGAACAGAACAGGGATCTCTCTCTCTCTCTCTCTCTATATATATATATATATTACTTAATCCTCTTCCATCCATGCTTACAAGAGGTTTAGGAGTGGAGAGAAATATGCCAAAAATTAAAAATATACATGTATTTTGATTTCATATGTGATAATCCTAAGAATTATTTTGTAAGAAAATCCAAAAAAAAGGTCAAGTGAATTAAAATCCAGCTTCTTTAAAATATGTTATGAAAAATAATTCCTTTTTATTTTACCAAAGTCTGAGATTTTATAATACCTCCTAGTACTGCTAGTTACCCTCCCACAGCTCCCTGGCCACTTCTTTCCCAGCACACCCCAGTGATTTCACAAGGTGCGGTTTTCTTTTTCTACTGTTTTTACCAAAAGTTTTTCCCTTTGATACTTTCAAAAGAAAACAGCACAACTCTGCCTGCAGCAACTGGATGTGGAGCAGGAAGTCATCATTACCAACCCATCTCCCTTCGATGCCGGTGAGAGTACGATCAAGTCCAGTGGTTTAAAACACAGCAAAGCACCAAAGGGAACCAACCGATAATGGGACACTTCTATGGAAATGATCAGCAGTGTATTTTGAATCCAATTCATTTGAAGTTCACCCACCTGGTAGCAACATCTGAGAAAGCTTTCAATCCTCAGCGCCCATCGGCCCCTTCAAACGGCTTCCGCTGTTTTTGTCAGGGTCACTGATTTTTTCAATAAATCTCTATTTCAGTTGAGTGTGGCTGCAAAGCAGCAGATCGCAGCCTTTCCAGCTCAGTTGCAAAGGGCTACTCTTTTCTTTCCCCCTCAGACTGATGGGCGTCCCTTCGTCTCGCAGTGTGTGTCAGGTAGAAAACGAAAGCAGCGGAGACAGCAAACCTGGAGCAGTTTCAACTCTCAGCGTACGAGCCTGCTTCAAGAAACAGCCGCCTTCCTTTCTGGGCTACAAGTAGTGAATCCCCAGGACACTAGACATTGTGCTCGTGCCTTGTAACGAGCAGAACAAAAGCTGGCAAGGGAACCAGGGCGTCCTGACCTGACTTCATCGGCACTGCGGAGGCTGGGCGGCAGCCGCCGTCTGCGCACGGGCAGCTCGTGTGCGCCGCGTGCAGCACGCCAGGGCACACGCAGCGCAGCTGGAGCTGGAGCAAACCGGCTGGTCAGCAGGCACCTAGAAACCGTTTGCCATAGAAAAACCTGAGATTTGGGGTTTTTCAGGAAATCTTTACGGCCGCCAGCTAACCTCCGTCCCCGCCACAAATCTACTGAAAACAAAATGCTGGCTCTAACTCACGGGCGGCAGAGGGGGCAGGGACTGGGAGGGGGCCCACAGCGAAGGGGGGGGGGTCACCCCTTCTCTCTGCAGCTGATTGGATAAGAGGGCTGTCCCTCGACGCTCTCAGCCAATCAGCAACGACAGGCAGGATATCATCACTCCCCTGTTTGTTTTCTTACAGAAAAAGTGGATAAAAATGCCATTACATTAAAGAGAGCGTGAGTGCATTTATTCATGCCTCCTGGGCCGTGCAGCCAAGCGCTGTCCGCCCTCTGGGCGGCACATGCACAGTTGCCCAAAAGCATTATAGACAGACATAGGCAGACAAGGTTCCTTGGGTGAATTTGATATCTTTTATTAGACCAACCCAAATGGTTGGAGAATAGTTATTAAGCAAGCTTTCGGGTTCAACAACCCTTCGTCAGGCTAAGGAAGCTGCAGCAGTCGGTGTGTGCTCTTCCTGGATGGGATGAAAAGTAAAGAAGCCAGGGGCTGAGCTGGGCTGGGGCGTTGGTTGCCAGGTAGGTTATAATGTGTCATAAATCCAATGTCTGTGTTTAGTCCCTGATCTCTAGTATCCAGGAGGTTGATGAAATGAAGCTCATAGGCTCGTCTCTGGGAAGTGTTGTGCAAGTTTCCCTTGAGGATCAGGACTGAGAGATTGGAGAGAGAGTGGTCCTCCTGTGGGAAATGTGCCCCCACCGGTAATTGGGTGTTTCTGTCTTTGATGGATTTCCGGTGTGCATTCATTCTGGTGCGCAGTTGTTGTCTGGTCTCTTCTACATATCTTCCATCAGGGCATTTGGTGCATTGGATGAGGTATATTACATTTCTGGAGGTGCAGCTGTAAGATCCTGGGACGCTGATGGCTCTGTTGTGGGGTGTCATTTGGTGCAAGACATGCAGACAGACAGACTAGGCCTTTTATTACATTTGAATTGTACTGGAAGCTGAACATTAATTTCAGAAAATTATTGTATTTGCTTAAAAGCTGTCACACACAAAAATATGCAAAATAGTAAGTCTTCTTCTTACTTACTTTATATTGCTTGTTTGTCAGCCAGTGAGCGAGGGAGAACTGGGTCATTAAAGCTGAAGCAGTTCTTTATTTTGAGGCAAGCAATCATAAGAAAATACTGACAGCAAACCCAAAAGTCAGTGAAGACTCCCAGAGGGTGATTTGGGTTTTGCATGTTGCAGTTCGCTGCCTCAAGAATAATTGTACATTTTGAACACTTTTACTATTATTGATGGTACATTGTGCAACAATTGAAATTATTGTACAAAGATGATAATTATTGCACACCGGGCAACACTGCTCTAGGCCACCATCCCCAGCAGAGCTGAGTCTTCATCAAGCCGTTCCCCACCTCCCCCAGCTGGAGCAGGGCAGGGGCTACCTGCGTTAGGGGGATGTGCAGGCAGTGACTCTTTAACCTGACCCCACGGGGAACCATTTCTAACAGTTGCTGAGAAGGAATTTTCAGTCTTCACAACGTGTCACAACGATGAAGGAGGCTGAAGACCCCGAAAATCTTCTCATGGTAATTTTGCCCCTGTTTTTGCAATATTTTTGAAAACTGAAATAGTTTGGCCACCGCTAATTTGCAACTTACTAAAATGGAAAGAAACCTGTAATATCCATGGGAGCCCAGAAACACTTCATGTATTTTATCTTTTACTTTCATTTGACCAGAAAGAAGTCACAAACTGATCAGAAATAACTTAAGGAGAAATTTCAACTAAGACTCATGGTACTGTCCCTCCTGTTGAAAACACTGGTTCAGATGACTGGGCTTCTAGGGTTAAGAATCAGTGTAAAACTGCTCACCTCAGAACCTGACTGAGCCTGGGCCAGTCATTGCCCATTACTATTACTGCAGCAGGGGTCATTGTATTCACTTAGAAGAACACTGACATCATGAGCACGTACACATCAATGGCTCTTGGAAGACACAAATTTAGCTGCTTTTTAAAATTGTATTTGGTCACAGCAGCACAATCTCACAAGTGTGATGCTGAATTTCTCCCAGTGAAGGAAATCTGTCTGGCCAGCACCTCCGAACCACATACACTCAGAAAGTTAAATATCTAAATGAAAAGAATGGGAACTGAACAGGAGATGCTTTTATATTTATCGAAGGTTGTTTATTACCATAAATGTGAGGGCAGCCAATCACAGGGGAGGGTTGTTGAGCAACCAGAGAGGGAAAAAGAACAAAATTTGCACTTCTCCTCACTTCGGGACTCTGAATGGATGAGCTGCAATGAAAGAGCCTCCTGGTTCAACAGCATCCGACAGTCCCTCCATTCCCTTGTTTTTGGCCCCTCCCTGGGGCCCAGCTGAGCAGTCTCTGATGCTCCAGGCCCTAGAGCCCCACTGCGTCACAGAGGCTCGGAAAGGGAGGCTTAGAGAGTGGTCTTTCCACCCGAATCCCTTCCTGCTCTCTATGGTCTGACAGTGCAGGACCCAACCCTGCTCTTCCAGGTTCATAGAGACTGCAGGGCTGAAAGTGTACAGGAAGGGAGGAGTCCTCCAGGGTCATAGAGATGAGCAAGACTGAGGCTAGAGCAGCCAACTAAGAGATCCTCTCTAGTGCAGTGCAAGGCTGCATCAGTGGCGCAGTGGGAAATGCGAGCTGCACTGTCGTATCCCGCACCCAGAGCCAGGGCCGCATTGTGTCCCTGATGGGCGAGGGCAGCGGAAAGGTGAAGATCGAGGAAACAAGTGTGTGGCAAAGTGGGCATCCCCGCTAGCCACAGCTAGCTTCCCACCTGCCTCTGGGCACGTCACCCGCCTGTCTCGCCCGCCTGTCACACCTTGTTGGAAATTGATAAGTTGTTAAATAAGGTGGGAGGCTGCCCATTGTTTTACCCCAATATTAGGGGGGTGTCCGTGGCTCCATACCACCTCTACACCATGGCCCAAGCCTTGCAGATGGCATCTCAGGAAGCTGGTTGGACCCTCGCTTTCACCCCATTAGCTGTGGCCCCCAACCATGGGGGCCTTTGGCTTACACAAGCCCTGGCCTCATCCCGTTTGGTTTCTCTCCTATGAGCCCTGGTTCTTGTGCCTGTCACTCTTTTCAGAGGCAGTGAGGACGATATGCATTCCAGACATTAGAGATTGCTGCTGGACTAAGACTGAGGGGGGTTTGCCTGTGGTAGTAGTGGGGATGCTTAGTTGTCAGTGCAGTCACATTGGGGTGTGGAGAGGGCTCAGAAAGCCCAGGGGGAGGCAGTGCCCAGGCAGGCCGAGATGGGGCAGGAAGAGGAAATGGACCCCCACCTGGCCCCATGACTGTGAGGGGAAATGCTGTCTTATCTCATAATGAGCTGTAAAATGCAGAGAGTGGCTGAGCTTTGCCCTTAACACTGATGTACTGCCACACTCAGCAAAGCAGAAAAAGATGCTTCTCCTTTAAGCTGATACTTTTACCTTCCTCCACAGGTGATGCAGTTCTTCCCAGCCCTGAAAAGAACCACAGAATCAACCATGAAAGCTCTTTCAAACAAATACATTGGGAGTGTTCAGTGTTGTGTAAAATATTATGATTGTGAAGAAATAAGTTCTAGTGCTTCAGCTGAGAATAAATAAATCCTCAATAATTTATTATTGGACATGGTGTGAGCGTTTAGGCATTAGAGGCCATACATTTCAAAGATTTCTTGGTGCTTACTGGAACGTCTATTGCCCATATAGTTCTTGCTACTAAATTTCCCTTCCCCTCTTATGAAATGACTAGCAAATTGCCCATCAAGAATGACGGGGTGGGGGGGAAGGGGGGCAGCAGGGATGGAGCCCAGCATCCAGCCCCATGCCTCTGCTCCCCCTATCATGTTCCCTCCCCACTGGAGTAGGCCCAACCCCATTCCCGACCACAACACATTGGACCTGACCCTGTTCCCCCCTCCACCGCAGTGGGCCCTACCCCGTTCCCCCCACACTGCCATGATGAGCCCAATCCCAGGAGCGGCAGTGGAGGGGAAGCTTGCTCCTCAGCACCCCATGCTGCTGCCACCTCCAGGGAGCAGGATTGGGGAGGCAAGGCCATAAGTGCTAGCCTCACCCCCCGCTCCATCCCCTCTGTCCCCACCATGATGGCGGCACTCCACTGTGCCACCACCGCCTCCTGTCTGGCATGTTTTTGAAGCACTCTGATTGGCTGCGAAGACAACCAATCAGAGTGCGAATAAAGTGTTACAGACACACAGACAGACAGACTAAGGGCTTTATATATACAAGATATGGTTACCTAATCAATGAATAAGTATCAATCCTTGCAGCTGTAGTACCAATTGTCAATATCTCCGTGCATTATATGATCGTAAGACCAGGTATAACAGGGGGGCTTCTCGGGTCCTGTCTATCCATGGCCCGCCCACCTCTTTCTGGGCCACCACCCACCTCCTCACCTGCCATGCCTTGTTGTTATATAATGAGGATGTTAATTAGGTGGGAGGCTGCCCATTTCTTGCCCTGATGCCAGGGGTCACTATCTGCAGCTCCATTCCCATCCTACACCACAGCCCAAGCCTCACAGATGGCATTCACCATTCTTAACATCACCGGCCCCATGCTGGGCCCCAGAATCCTCCAGTCCAGACCTCTACAAGATCCCTCCACTTAGGCGGCCTCCTCTGCCCTCATTCTGGGCTGCCGAGCTTCCTGAACTGTTCCCCCTTCAACTGTGGCCTCCCTGGGACGTTTGGCCACACAGGCCCTGGCCTCACCTCCAAGGCCAGTCAAAAACCCCAGGCCCTCAGCTCTGGGCGTCCCTCATGGTGGGCCCCTGGCCCTTTTGACCCTTCCGGTCCTGGCCCCAGCACTGACCAGTCAAGAGATTTCAAGTCAGGTCTTTGAGCCTCTAGCCCCTCTCTAACTTGGGTCCAACTTCTTGACCCTTCTATGGGGTAACCCACCCGGTTGTGGGAGCTAGGGTTAAGGCACCCTGACCCGCTTTTCACTGGGTAGCTGGCCTGATATTTCCTGGAGGCTCCCGTGGCACTGGGAGCCC